GCTCTAGTTAATGCAGATGTTAAAATCCCAAATAAGAATTGTAAGAGAATATTAACAAAATATACATCATGACCATTGACAAAGAATATCTATAGCTGAAAGAAATCACATTATCTCTTCAGGGAAATGTGTTTTGAACTGAATAAGTACTATCTTCTAAGGTGTCTGAAAAGAGATGACAAAATGTTTAGTTCATGTGGGAATGGCAAATATATGTATATGCATAGATATATATGTGTCTATACTAGGACTAATTTTTTGCCATGTGCATCTGGTGGGTGGAAGAATCTAGGGGAGGATGGATTTCACTTCACTGGGATCACCGAAATTGCGGTGAAGACTCCAACAAAAGTGCTTTTTAATTTTTCTCCATATTCATGACTCAGAGTTAACTCAAGATAAAATTAATACGTGTTTTTAAATATGTTTACAGTTTAAATCATTCCCTAATTATTTTCCTTGCTCAGAAGACTATGATTGTAATTGAAGTTTGGATAAGAAAAGGAGAACAAGATAATTGTAATTAGTATCTCTCAAAATGGGCAAAAATTTAGATTGATTCTATAAATATTGCTGTGCTATTATAGATTTAAATGTAGATAATTTTCTGCACTGTCCTTTATTAAGTTTAAACTGTAATGTCTTTTTCTGTAAAAATAAAAGATTGCATGTTTATGCAAAAGAAGTTGCAAATACCCACGGCATTTGATAAATCCACAGTAAAACGTTAGGAAACACAGAGGTAGTTTTGCTTATTAACTTACCAAAATATAAAAAATGATATAGGGGTGAAAAATTAAGTCCCAAAACCTATAAATCTGTCTCGAACTAATTCTCTTTTAAAATACTCTTTATAAAGATGTGAACATCTGTTTTTATCCCTAAGCAAATAATGGAGAGGCAAATGTAATCTTTTCAAGCCTGTGTTTCTAGAACCCCAACAGACAGCAAGAAAGAATGAGCTCTCAGGTGTGACCAGAATAATTAAAGATATTAATGATCATTTGATGTGTTTTACTACTCTGGTTAATTTTTATGGCTTCACTTGTCCTGAGTGAGGCATAATTAGTCTGAACCAAGAGTTAGTTTCAGACTTTGATTCTCATTAAGCAAAAATAATTGCTATGTTCGTTCACTCTTATTCAATGTAAATGAATGGTATTTTCTGTCCCCATATCTCTGTGAATGCTTTAATAACTATCTCTAAGAATGCTTATTTTTCCAGGGACATTAAATCCTGCTGAGATTCTAAACCCATGGCCTAAAATGCTAATGCTTTTTAAATGTCCTGAATATATTTTATTTCCGGAATATTTAAGTATTGCATTTCCAAGTTTTCCTGTTCTTGTTTAACACTTAAATAACCATAGTCTTGACATTTCAATGTATTTTCAGGATACTCTTAAAATTAATTTTTGATTGTGAATAGCGTGTATAAAACTGTACCAATTTGTGAGGATTTCTGAAAAATAATATTATCACCAAAAAAGCAGATTATTAACAAAAGAAAGATGGCTTCAAGCCTATGGCTTAAATGAAACACAAATCTATATAAATCAAAGATTCCTGGTTCTAATAAAGTACCTGGGTAGAAAAGAATGTAAAAGTTGTTTATTGTGAGTGCACTATTGCTTTCCATATATGTCTAATTTTGGTTGAAATTAAGTCCTGCTTGATAATACCTTTGTTCTTCAATCAGTTTGTACTATGAAGAGGCAATGAATGTGTCTAACGTTTTTGGATTGCTCTCAGCATCTCCACAATCCAAACTTACCTAGGAATTAATATGACCAAAACCACAGACATGAGAGTTTTCAGGTTTCTCTTTCTGTTTTGTGTGTTCTTCCATCCAGATGGTTTGGGTTGGATTCTCATTTGAGGGAATGGTAATGCATGAAACCTACAGGAGCCAGAAAAGGGAGGATGCTAACAGGTGTTCTAAAGACTTCCAATGGACCTTATGGAAAGCCAAGCCTAGGAATCAGATGCATTGAGGCAGTTAGGTGGTATTAGAACTATGGAAGCTCTTAAAAATATCAGGAACAGGCTCGGCACCTGTGGCTCAAGCTGCTAAGGCGCCAGCCACATACACCTAAGGTGGCGAGTTCGAATCCAGCCCAGCCCACCAAACAACAATAATGGCTGCAACCAAAAAATAGCTGGGCATTGTGGCGGGTGCGTGTGGTCCCAGCTACTTGGAAGGCTGAGACAGGAGAC